ACCAAATATGCCACATCAAATATTTCCTACATGGTTCTTCAGTATTCTAAGGTAAAAGTAAAGAAACTTAAATTAGTCCAACCAGGCATCATCTTGGTTTTTAGGCTCTGTTTTTTAATGTTTTTCACAGTTAAGCGTAGCAAAGAAACAAACCAAAATCAAAATCCCAAAATCATTTGACTGAAGGATGTCTGGAACAGCCTTGTCAGAGGAAACTACAGGTAATGGTCATTTCTTTTTCAGCAGGGACATTCACAGGTATAAAAAATAAAAAAATATTAAAAAATATTAAGAAATTGACATCTATGCAATCTTGCACCTCAAAAGGTCGTCATAGATCCTTGCTAACATGGATGATTCTAGTAAAACTTTATTCCAACACACAATAATGAATGATACTATCATAGTCTTTCTGAAAATTCTACAGCAACGAAATTAAATTGAATAATATCATGTAATGGCACTATTAGCAGTTAGTAGAATATTCCTCAATCAGTGACTATTTGTGATAGGTACAATTTTCGATGTCCACTGTACATTGTACACTGATCACGGAGTGACCTTGCCTCGCGAGACCACACAATAACTATTGAAATTAATGTTAACATATTTAATGTTTGTTGTTGAAAGGTTTTCAAAAATCACCTGGGCAGCACAATACACACAAACATGACTTGTCAACTAAGTAGCTTTTAAGTTACTCCTGCATAGGGTTCTTAGTAACATGTATTTGCAAGATATTTTGAGCTAGAAATGCTAACCTAAATTGTACTAAATGAACTCACTAACAAAATATCATTATAAGATATAATATGTATTTTCTTGAACAAATCAAACAACATCAAAAATCAGACCCAGTTTCTTCCTTAGTAGAAATCAGCATACATTCCTTTACATATTATTCCTACCTGAATAAACAAGTGATAATCAATGGCCTGCTATTCCAGGCTTTTCAAGAAATAGTTTACTCAGTAATTTTGATTGTATGTACATTACGCGCCTCTTTGTTTATGATAGGTAAAAAAAACACATTTCAACTGAAGCCTTGCATGTACATTTAATGTGTAGCATTTGTCAAAATGGGAAACGTGGAATTTTTCATTTAAACTTGCGAGTGTTAACCACATATCATTAAACTTGACCACTACACTTGCAGCAGGTAATGATGAAGACAATCCAATATATCAGCCTGAAGATAAACCACACTGGTCAACTGGCCTGCTAGAAAGCCAAGAACTCAGTACCCTGTACACTGAAAACACTGACTCAAAAACAATGTCAACCTCCCCTGGGAATGTTTCAAGTAATGATGAAGAAAGATCTGTAGCAGAGGCCACAGACATCGCTGACAATAATACTGAACCTGTAGATGCTAGTGATCTAGAAGACACAGACAGAGCACCTGCTGGTAATATCCAGCACCCAGACACCACAGGGAGTTTAGATGACACTATTATAAACCCTGACACCGGGGATCTTGACATTTCTGACAATATCGAAGCTTATGCTAACAAAAGAAGCAATGAGCCTGATACCCCTGACTGCGAGGATCCAAACAAAAGAGTACTGACAAATCCGATGTACGAAGAACTGCCTGACACTAGCACACAGCAAACAGCAGACAACGTCAGTAACGAACATGACCTACAGGGTCCCTCCAACACTAATGACTCAAAGGAGGACAAGAAATTACAGAAGCTTCAATCCCAACCAAACATGAAATCACTACAGCCAAATGTCATGTACGGAGGATACATTCCCAACCAGGGGGCAGGAGGTAAGACAATATGTATAGACCTATCTATGAAACACCACAAAATTATAAACCATGCATTCATTCATTCATTCATTTTTCAAACTCTCCGTTTGTGTCTGTAACAACTATTTTAACACTCAAGTCTTTAACTAGTTTGTAGACAATGTTACAATATACCTTCTTAAATGTGTTCATTTTTCGTAATTGTGTTGTGTTTACCTTTTAGTCTGTTACATGACTATGCGTCTTTATTTTGCATAATTTTTTATTTGTATTTGAACCTATAAGATTAGCCATTAGCCTACACTGAATCGGAATAAAAAATCAAGGGTAGGTGCCTTTAGGCTTAAACGTCTGTTAAAATTGACAAAACAAACTGGATTCAAGCATAATGATTTACTCGATGAGGAATTTCAATACCCACTTCAGGAGTGGGATAGTCCTTTTAATTTGATTACATGAAAATGATTTGACATACACAGCATTCAAAACAAATCAAATAGCATGGATGATTTTCTAGTTCACTGATTCATAATGTATGTATAATGACAAAAGACTCTGTATATTTTGCACTTCTGTTTTCAACAGGTGACTCTCCAATCTATCGTTACTGCGGTCTTGCCGCTTTCTTAGTAATTTTTCTGGTCATGGTTGGACTGATAACAGCAGGAATACTTGTGGGGGTGAACCAAAACATCCAGGACCATGGTAACCCCATGGTAAGGTATATTTTCCTTATACAAGAAGATTATGTTTGGGATAGAGTGAGTGTGTGCATGTGCATGTGTATGTGTGTATGTGTGTGTGTGTGTGTGTGTGTGTGTGTGTGTGTGTGAATGTATGTATGTGTGTGTGTGCGTGTGTTCATGCATGAGTGTGTTCATGTGTGTGTGTGTGTATGTGTATGTGCATGAGTGTGTGTGCATTTGTGTGTGCATGTGTGTTTGTGCATGTGTGTGTAGGTGTGTTTGTGTGTTTGTGTGTGTCTGTGTGCGTTCGGGCGTGTGTGAAAGCGCGCACATACACAGAAAAATTGACATCTGGGCCCCCTAGCAGCTTGTTCTGTAACTGCAGGGGCATTTTTGAAAGCCCTATCTATAAGGTTTTCTATTCATTTTATTACAAAAAAACTAACCGAGAATTAACCTTCATACACTTTAGGTACATTTGTAAAAGTTCATGTTATTTGTTACTGCAGCTATAATATATTGCTACATATACGATGTTACACTTACAGGTTCCTTCAATACAAGGATCCACAAACTGGAGTACTACCTTCATAGTGATGACAGAACCTGATGATACCACCCCACCCCTCCTTGGGACCACCAATGGTACCAACCAAACTAGCCTTGGGGGCACTAATGGTACTAACCTACCCAACATCTGTGTATCTGCATAGCCGGTATAACCGCCCTTCGGTGTAACACACCAGCTTTTCAAGCACGCGGCACGGTGGCAGCTGGCTACATTACACCGAACGATGTGTTACACCTAACCCTTGTACATTTAACTCCAAACATAAAGCTATCTAATGATAACGCCCCTAATGTACATGTGCAATTGGTGACATCGAATTCCACTCTGCGATAGTTCTAGGAAATGAATTTTTGGACACCTTAACCCTTGGTTGATAACTCTGGTACTTGATGGTATGGCTATTTCTTGTTCTTTTCTGGGCTGGTTTTAGGTACTTAGTAGTTGGTACATTTACCAGCTTATTAGTCATTTTGTACATCATGCATAGTCTGGACATTTTTTGTCTGTCTTCTAGAGTCTCCCACTGTAGGCTTTTCATTTCCGTGACACTTACACCCCTTTCATAGTTGTTCATACAGAAGCTTAAATCTCGATTATGTACTCTGTCCAGTTTGTCTTTGTCTTTCTTTGTATATGGATCCCATATACCATCATTTCTCATAGGCAACAGCAAAAAAACTGTGACCATGTACAAAATTAAGATTTTGCTTTCTCATTTCAATCCGACAAATACTGGGATTAAAGCCATTTTGCGGCATATCTACATAGTATCACTCAGAATACCAGATGTGCCGAAGTTTACCTGTACCACAAAATAACGGTGCAGCAAAGGTTACCTATAACACTCATTTTCTTGAGTCCCTTTTGACATGATTCTTTCCTCTGTTTTATTCCATAATATGTTCTATTCTCAAACATGATCTAGAAAACTATAAGTAGTATAGAGTGGAAGGCACCTGTCCAGTGTTTTGGAATAACAGAGTGTTAAATAATATTATATGTTTTGTCTACAGGATTGGGCACTCCGCAGCCTCACATTGGAACAATCCTCAGACTTGGTGGGCGCGGAAAAGTGTGGAAAAGAGAAGACTGCTCAGTCTGGAAAAAAATGAGAAAACGCTTGTACGGCAAGTTCAACCATGTGAGTGGACTGGCCGTCTCCTCTACTAACGAGCTATTCGTGGCTGACAATTGGAACAGACGAATCCAAGTCTTCAGCATGAAGGGCGACTTTCTTCGCAGTTTTGATACAGGAAAGATGAGACCCCTGGACATTGCCATGGACCAAGATAATACTCTTTGGGTCCTTTTGACAGGTACACATTGTGTCAAAAAGGGCTAAAGAAATTTAAGAAGGAAAAAACTATCATTAATCGCTACAGCAGGGAGGGCCGTTATCTTGAAAAGTTCCCGTGTGCAAAATTGAAGTTCTCCAATAGATTTGCCTTAGACACACTTTCCAATGACATGATAATAACAAAGAGATTGAACAAAGCTAAAGTGAAGGGTGCATCAGCTGGCCGATTTTTTAAAGAATTATGTGCAATGCAAGCTTTCAGGCCAGAAGAGCTGATGTGGCTGAAATGGCCAGCGTCTGTTGCAGTAGACAAGGAAGGGAACATCTACATCACTGAGCAGCAAACCCATAATGTTCTAAAGTATGACAAGAATGGAAAATACACATGCTGCTTTGGCCGCAAAGGTGACGAATCTAGCAACCACCTGAAGTCTCCTGTGGGCATCTGTTTGGACAGTTTGGGTCGCATCATTGTGGCCGATAATGGCAACAATCGGGTGGAGATGTTCACAGCTGAGGGAGAATATATTGCTAATATTGCTAATATTACCCATCCCCAGCGCGTTGCTATAGGAAAGGAGGGCCAGCTTATTGTGAGCAGTGAGAACCACTATGTCACTATTTTCCCAGAATACTAAATGCCCCTAAATGGCCACAAATAGCCAAATGGGTACTAGACGACCACACACGAGAGGTCACAGGTTCCATTCCCTGAAGTTGTATAACTTTGTGCCTTCGAGAAGGGAACTTTCCTAATTCCAGAATTTGTTACCTGACTTTGTTTGGCCAGGTAAAAGGCAAGGGAGAGAAAAAAAAATCTCAAGGGACGGTAAAATATAATCACTCACTGTGGCAACTGCTGGGAATTTCAGACTTGTCTAATTTGAAAGGTTAACATCACTAAACAAGATCAAATCAACAACTATTCAAATCAAGATCTCAGTTGGCAATGGATTTGTGAGAAAATTCTATAAAGCCCTCTTTCATAAGACTGTCATTATATTGAGAATATGATCAACATCTTCCTGACACAATTCATGCACACGGAGGTCTTGTTTTCATTATCAATGAAAAAAACACACATTATGACTGTTTTATCAGTTTTTATTAATGTTAACATCATTTGGCGAAGGTGAAAATCATAGGGTCATGGAAGTTGTTAATTTTTTAAGCTTATTTACACCTTTGAGATACTCTGCACAAATTAGCAACCCTACCAGTAGATGTTTGGAAAATATACAAGACTTAGATTTGGATTTAGAAATGAAGTTTTTTTGATTGTGATACAAATACTACGAAATTCCTATCAGTCACATTTAAGATTTTTTGTGCAAATATCGTGTTCAGAGACTGGCCACAAATTAGAATTTCTACCTGTAGACAGAAACGTTTCGGGAAATAGTCAGGATCTGAATTCAGATCTTGACATTTACTTTTAGATTTTGATTATTGTTTTTGATTGTGATTATTAATGTTTGAAAAATTTCACACCTTTGGAATTGTTTGCACAAATTCATGTATCAAACTGAAGACTCAGTCCACAAACTAGAAATTTTATCTGCAGAACAAAGAAAACTTCAAGTTGAAATGTGATTTAACTGCTTGCAGTTTGTTTGGCTTAAAAATTCTGGCTAAGCTTTCATGAATTACAGGAAAGCCAACCTACATGTACATATAAACAAAAAATTATCAAATCAAGTAGCAGCATATAGGAAAGGCATGTCTCTTAAGGTTTGTGAAGACGCGCATATTACAATTCTTGCAGTATTGTCAGGGCTCAAAATACTGGGTGCATGTGCACATTTTTTTTCTGTGGGTGCTTCAGTGCACCCAGGCATTTTCGTAGGTTCACTAAACTATGTAAAGATGTAAAATGCATACTCCTATATTCTAGTGCTAGAAAAATATGAAAATCTTTGATGTAGTACTTTTTTCCTTAGAAAGAAAACATGATTTACAGTTTTTGCTGACATTCTATTTCTAATTCTATTTTCTATGGTGCACTCCCAAAAATCTGTGCACCCAATTTTTTTTTCGTTGGGTGCACTAGTGCTCCTATTCCCAAACATGAATTTGGAGCCCTGATTGTAAATACATACACTACCAGTAGTCATTAACTTTTCTGTGTGTTCTCACAAGTTTGATGAGCCACTACTTCAGAGAAAATTATAGACTCAGGTTTATTTAATACATAATATTATTAAGACTTCTTTGGGTCAATAATGGCAAAATTAATAATGTTGTACATTTTGCAGAAAGATTTTCTGAAAAGGACTAAGTAAAGATACTCTTTTTACACAAGACAACCAAGTCTTTTATTCAAA